AGCCACATCGTCAGCCAACTGCTCCCTTTCCCCCCAGCACCTTCTGCCCACTGCGAAACAGCTGATCGTGGCGGGCGGGAGGCGCTGGGAGAGAGGAGGAGGAGTTGATCGGAAGGGCCACCAGTGGACAGGAGGCGCTGGGGAGGGAAAGGGAGGAGTTGGCTGCTGATGGGTGCTGAGCACCCACTAATTTTTGGAGCACCCACAGAGTTGGCGCCTATGCCCAGGTGAGGGGCCTGTAACCTGAGCCCCGCCACACAGGGCTGAAGCTGTCGGGCTCGGGCTTCTGGCTCAGGCTTCGGCCCGGGCCCCAGCAAGTCTAATGCGAGCCCTGGCAACCCCATTAAAATGGCTTTGCGACCCACTTTGGGGTCCTGACCCACAGTTTGAGAACCACTGACTTAAGTCATCCAGGCATTGGGTCATCCACATGGCATCCATTCTTTGGATTCTCAATGATTCCCACCCCTTTGCTCCCAGGTCACATCCTCATTTATACCCCTGCACCTCACTTTATTACCAAACATTCTCTAATGCCCCACATTCTCATAAGCAAACAAGGGAGATGTGGTGGAGATAAAATTCCTATAAGGTGAATGCATAACTGGTTAAAGACCATACTCAAAGAAAGAAGTTATCAAAGATTCATTGTCAAACTGGGAGAGCGTATGTAATGGGGTGCCACAGGAGCCAGTTCTAGGTCTAGTACTATTCAGTATTTTCATTTATGATTTGGGTAATGGAGTGGAGAGTCTGGGACTCTTGACACATCACCACAGGATACCGGGGTGCCATGACAGCAGGGACCTGTGAAGGGTGTCATTCACCTGCCCAAGATAACTGTGACACGAAATGAAAAGCCTCATTGTCCAGAAGGGGACATTTTCCACTCATTCATTACGTTTGTATTTGTTGTACTGTTCTTTAGCTGAATTCTGTGTTCTTTCTTTCATCCCCACAGCATCCTGGGAGATCTCACTTCAAGGTAAAGAATGAGTCAGTTGACAAGTGTCTATCAGGAATGATGTCCCTGCTTATGGAGCTTTGCAATCGGATGGTGCACGGGGCCCAGAGACAATGAATCCTCCTTTCACTGTACAGGAATGAATATCAAGCCGCCCCCACAGCTTCACACCTCCAAACACACACACACATGCACACACACTTTCAGACACCTTGCGTGAAGATGTGATTGTCAAGCCCCACACCGCCTGTGTGACACCTTCCTGTGCCCTGCTAGTGGGTGGCTCCTCTTCTCTGGGCTCTCATATTCCCTGCTCAGCCATTAGTGCAATTACCCAGCAGATGACTTGTGCTAAGAGAACTTCACTCAAAGTTGAGGACACAGTGGATCAAGTAGAAAATCCAAGGCCTTTTCTGACCCGAAGCATGATTTGCAGCCTGACCTCTCTCCAATCCACTCTCTGAGCTGTATTTTGCAGCGCCATTTAGGGAGTTGGATGGTGTTTCTAATGCAGAACACACAGCTGCTCCCCACGCTGTCCTTGTCCCACAAAAGTTAAGGTTACATTTTAACACATATCAGTTTTAATTACGATTTTGATTATCTGATTGTTGCAAAGCATTGTGGGATGTTTCGATGACTGCCAGGGTGCTATAAGCAAGCCTGAGCAGAGACAGCCAGACCTGTACTCATACCCATTGAAAAGGCCATCATTTCCGGAGGATTTAACATATTCTGTGCTCTTCCCTCATAACTGTCTCTGTGTAATTTTCCCCTTTAAGAGATGTATGCTTTTCCTTCCAGCGATGTTGGTGTTGAGCTGCCTCTTATTCTGATGCACCCAAAGCCCACTGATGGTAAGTGATCACGCTGGAATACAATTTTCACTAGGGAAGCAGCAGGGAGGAAACGCATTCACATTCATGAAGGTGTCAGAAACACTAGTGATATCGGTTATCCCTAAGGCCAGGTGAAGCAGTTCAGCTCAGAGAAGACCCAACCCAGATGGAAACAAACCTCAGAGCCTTTCCAGGGTGGGATCAGTTCATTTGCCCTTTTCTCTGTGGCTCTGTTCCTTCCAACATGGCCAGGCCTGGAAACTCTAACACACCCTGAAAGAGAGAGGCTTATATTATTCCCTCTCCAAACCAAGCTTCCACACTTTCTGAAACTGACCCATCACTTGGTCAGTTCCCATGATGTACTGCACAGTGTGCCAATGATGAAAAGGGCACGGGCTGTGCTTTCCAAAATCCATTCTTTCCAATGGATTTGGAGTCAGTCAGAGCTGTTCCCACTTACATTTTAGCCATGATCTGTCTATGGCGTGCCAGGGGGGTTCTCCCATAAGTTTGCCACCTCTCCAGATCTTGACAGGACCATCTCGTTTCCTGCAAACTTATCTTGCAGAACACGCAACTACATCATCACACCAGTATGCTGCATTGTGATGGCACAGACATCACAACTTCATGATGCCATGGGTTTGTAGTGGAGGACAAATTTTTAAGGATGGTGATCCAATGCCCACCCAAGACTTGAGGCTAATGCTCTGCTGGAGCAAAGGTCCTATTTTGCAATTGCGTGTCTGAACCACTAAACACAACACATGTAACGGGAGAGCTGTGAACTGTGCTTAATGCTTATTTAGCAGAATTGAGTGGAGTCATTTTATAATAAACACAAAACTCCACAATGTGTGTAGTGTAGTGGAAGATTTGACTTTGTCTTGAGATCTAGACTGAGAAATATTCACAAGGTTGTATGGTGTCTCAGCCACATGTCTATTACTGATCTTCCACAGTAACTCTGCAGATAAAACACACAACCCCTTTCAGTTATTTGCCCCAGAATATGTCTTTCCAATAGAAATATCCCAGTAGTAAGAACATGTCCTTTTGAAATGCCTGTTTCAGACTAACCTCTGTGTGTGTCTCTCAATCTTTCTCTGCCTCCCCGCGATGTGTTTATAAATGGACTATAGACAAGCTAAGGTAAGGAAAAGGTTTCTTGGCCTCTACACCAACACTTTCTGTAAGAAATCTGTGACATAAACTCATTGGAGATAGATGCAATACTAAATAACCTGCTCCCATTTCAATATGGAGTCTCCTGTGAGTGTCTTGGACCAAAAGATCCATCATAGATCTCAGGCTCAGGCCCCACAAACTTGTGCTCTCTACATCACAACAGACACTATGACATTACAATGTGATGTCACCACTAAAATGAGCATTGTCATAGCGGGAGGAGAAACCAGAGCTGGGAGAGAGGCATGTTTGCAGCTTAATTTTGTTTATTTTATAGTGTCCTGGCTTTTCTTCTCCTTGCTAAAATCACACTGGCCCCTGTTGTTTCAGATCCAAACTGTGTTGCCTATTTCAATGTTACTTCATTATTTTCTGGAGGGAGTTGCTGTCACCGACTTGGCTCCATAGATACATGCACTACTCTGTTGCTATGATAGATGGCCCACTGATGGAGATTTCTGTCCCTTGCTCCAATCAGCACAGCTCAGAACACAGACTACAGCTTTCCTAGTACTGTTGCTTCCTTGGTAATCTCAGCTGGCTCCAGCTCACTTAAGTTTAGTGGCAGCTGGAGGCTGCACTCCAGGCACTGGACTACAGGAAACTGTAACCAAAACAAAATCCAGAATATCCCTAGAGAGAGGGCACTGGCTGAATTCGTAACAGCAATAAATCCTGTAACTCCCTTAATTGGTGTAGGAAATGACTAACGCATCCAAAAACTGGCCCAACAGGACACAAATCCACCAGGATTGTTAGCACCAAATCCTGCTATGTGCCAATGAATTATATATTGAGAGCCAGCCTCATAAGATAAAGTCCTGTGTTGCCCTGGTAATTCTGTTTAGCTCCAGAACACTCTATCCAAAGGACTCTAATGGTGAAATCCCACTTCCCCAGCTGGCAGCAATTTATACTGACCAAAACACCAGGATGGAGTTGCCATGCTTACACGTTTGCCCACTAGGAAATCTCACAATGCCAAATCCTTTCCCCACTCCAAAGTCCACCAGCTATGAATTTGATCTGTAGTTACAAGACCATGAAAGACCCATTTTTGTGTCTACTTATATCCTGCAAGCTGCTGCTGCGGGACACTGGAGAAATGCATGAAAATCAGAACAGTACTTTGGGAACAGGCAGAGTCCAGGAGCTGCCTGTGCCTAGATAAACTACTCACATGTTCTCACAGCAAAGAATGTGCCCTTTATAGCCCCTCTGTGGGCCTAGTCAGGATATTTCAAATTTCTCTTAGAAGCATGGAACCCCCTGATCGGTCCCTTTCCTACCCACTTGCACTTCATGCAGTTTGTCGAATCGCTTTGTATTCTTGACATTTTGGAACCTGTTTTGCTGAATTTTCTCCTTTTTTCCTTCTGTTCCTTTTTGTGCCTCTTTCTCTGTTTCATGGTGTCATTTTGCATTTCCCTCTTGCAAGGAGGTAATTAATCCTCTTTATGTCTCTCTGTCTCCATTTTTTTTGTTTGTTTTATCACTGTGTAAAACTTTGTCTTCAGAAATCTCTTTAGATGCAGGTTTCCCCCCTCCATACACACACCTAGCTGAGTGTCCTGGGCAGAATTGCATTGCTGCTGCTGGTAAAAGTCTCAGCCACTTGAGTAGCTATTTACTACTATTTATCAGCACATCTTGTGGATTTCCTTCAGTAAATGTCCCCCACTGCACTGTCCTTATCAGTTAGCACTCCGAGCCTCCTGGGGCCAGGGCTGAAATATGTACAGAAGGCAAAGCACTGTTCCTCAGCAGAACATGTGCATTGAGGAGTCCTGTGAGGCTGGGTGTCAACAGAAAGTGGACATTGTCTCCATGGTCCTGATGATTTGAGCAGGGACTTCACCCTTTTGGGACTTTCACACTGTGACCCTCCCTCCTCTCCCCCCCGAGGCAGATGATGTGTGTAGTCACCAAAGTCCCAATTTTGAGACCTTATCATGCTGTCTTCTTCTCTCCAGTGAGGAGGACATTGTGATTGAGGAATTTGCTCGCCAAAAACTCAAGGGGGAGAAAGACGACGAAGATGAGAAGGAGGAAGCTGACAAAGACGAAAGCTAATCTGCTGCCCTGCCCAGCCCAGCCAAAACATGTGGTAGTGACCACTGCAGTGCACATAGATTTTTTAGAGCAGTCCCTGATGTACCAATCTTATACGTGTGGTGTGATACAATCATCATTTGTTAGCAACTGTAACTATTTGAATGCTGTCAAGGAAATGTGTTACATTCTGTTTATGCCACTCACTGGAATGCTGCAAAGTTATGCAATTTCTTTATAAATAAAACTGTATAAACTGAAATGTGCTGGAATCCATTTATTTTGGCTTTGGTTTTACTCTGATCAGTTCCTCACAAGTCATGGAAGAGCTTACAAGCTAGAGGCAAAGTTGGTGCACAAGTCCCTGTGTCTCTTTCACAACAGCACCAGCTAGGTGGACACCACACCAAGGGAAGGATCAAGTCCAAAACAAATTTTTTTTTATAAACATGTTATTAAATGAGAATGTTCAGCATATGCTGTATATACTATTCTTGTAACGAGTTCAGATCTGGAACAGCCTTCCAAGGGGAGCAGTGGGGCAAAAAACCTAATTTGTTTCAAGACTGATCTTGATAAGTTAATGGAGGGGATGGTGTGATGAGGTTGCCTAAAATGGCATATGCCACCCATCTGCGACTGCTATTAGCAAATATCTCCAATGGCGAGAGAGAGGACCCTAGATGTAGAGTTACTACAGAGAATTCTTTCCCAGCTGTCTGGATGGTGCGTCTCACCCACATGCTCAGAGTCTGACTGTCATAACTATAAAGGGAAGGGTAACAGCCCTCCTGTGTACAATACTATAAAATCCCTCCTGGCCAGAGACTCCAAAATCCTTTTACCTGTAAAGGGTTAAGAAGCTCAGGTAACCTGGCTGACTCCTGACCCAAAGGACCAATAAGGGGACAAGATACTTTCAAATCTTGGTGGGGGGAAGGCTTTTGTTTGTGCTCTTTGTTTTGGTGGGAGTTCGCTCTTGGGACTAAGAGGGACCAGACATCAATCCATGTTCTCCAAATCTTTCTGAACAAGTCTCTCATATTTCAAACTTGTAAGTACAGCCAGGCAAGGCGTGTTCGTTTTATCTTTGTTTTCTCAACTTGTAAATGTACTTTTGCTAGGGTGTTTACCTCTGTTTGCTGTAACTTTGAACCTAAGGCTAGAGGGGGTCCTCTGGGCTCTTTAAGTTTGATTACCCTGTAAAGTTATTTTCCATCCTGATTTTACAGAGATGATGTTGACCTTTTTCTTTAATTAAAAGCCTTTTTTAATAACCTGATTGATTTTTCCTTGTTTTTAGATCCAAGGGGATTGGGTCTGGATCCACCAGGAGTTGGTGGGAGAAAGGAGGGGGGATGGTTAATTTCTCCTTGTTTTAAGATCCAAGGGGTTGGATCTGTGTTCACCAGGTAGTTGGTGGAAGAGTCTCTCAAGGCTACCCAGGGAAGGGAGTTAGCCCATTGGGAGTGGTGGCAGCGGACCAGATCTAAGCTGGTAGTTAAGCTTAAAAGTTTTCATGCAGGCCCCCACATCTGTACCCTAAAGTTCAGAGTGGGGAAGGAGCCTTGACACTGACTGATCACCATGTTTGAAGTCAGGAAGGGATTTTTCCCCAGGTCAGATTGGCAGAGAACCTGGGGAGGTTTTTTTGCCTTCCTCTACAGCCTGGGGAATGGGTCACTTGCTGGTTTGAACTAGAGTAAACAGTGGATTCTCAGTAACTCAGCCAGAGGTTGTGGGTCTATTGCAGGAATAAGTGGGTGAGGTTCTGTGACCTGCGATGTGGAAGAGGTCAGACTAGATGATCATGAGTGTCCCTTCTGGCCTTAAGGTCTATGAGTCTATGATTTACACACAAAACCCTTTCAAATCTGCCACAGTCCAATGACGTTAGTTTGCCTGCTCTGGAATTAGGTGATGTCATTGGGGTTGGGCTCTCTCTCCTCTCATCCCAAATGCCCAGCCTGCATCATTTTGCTTATGCAGACCAACATAAGGACAGGAGATTGTATTTACTGCACCTACTCAAGAAGCTGAAGTCGCTGATGGCTGGTGAGGTGCAAAACTGGATCTCACAGGACCTAAAACATGATAAGAGTGAGCTTTGAGGTAATTATGTGCTGACTACACTTCAGCCAGGCCATTTGGCACCAATTGCAGAAGAGGATGGAACCAGCAGGATCATATTTGTCATCCATGTTTAACTGTGATTGTGACAACAGTTGACCAAAACCCCATAACAGCATTACAGTCAATATCTAGTGCTCTGTGGCAACCAAGATCTAAATTCTGCAACAAGGTTCCTTGGATTTTCTGAAGGGCGCAGAGACTGGAAACTCTGTGGCAGCTAAATTTAAATGTTAAAAAAGATGTTTAAAATTAAATATGTAAAAGAATAATACAGTCAATAGTATCCACTCTTTTTTATTGTGTTATTAAACTCAATGTATTTTTACCCTGGCCCCACATGTTCTGTTTGGATTGACAATGCATAACTTCATCATAGAAGCTATGATGAAAATAAGTTCCGGCGGCTAGAAAGGCATTGCAGTTTGGGAGCTGGACATTTCTGCTAAAATGAACAACAGTGATGTAAACTGTTATATTTAGACTTCAGAGTTAATACCACATTAAGATGAATGGGGCATTTCACATCTCAGACCTACTGCTTGAGTCTGTCTGCAAACTCAGGCAGTTATCATTGCCTCAGTGGCAGTCATGATTTGTTTAGATTAGGGAAATTTGCACCAGTGTAACCATATCAATGTAGTTACACCAGAGCAAATTCCTTATGTATTGCATTGATGCAAAAGCGGGCTCACTTCTATGCAGGTAGGTTTACATTGGAGAAGCTCATTCCGTGTTGCACATGTACACAGGGAGGTTGCATTGGTTTAGTTACATTGGTGCAGCTACATAAGTGTAACAAAAGCCACGTTTAGACAGGACGTCATTTCCTATATTTCAGATTTTCCACTACAACCATGGTGATGTTTGCACTAGGAAAATTCAGACCCATAATTTACGACCGGGGTAGAAATGTTGAAAGTACTGTACTAGTGTGTGCAGGACATCAGCATTCTTACTATGTGACCTAAGTATTCAAGGCCCGTGAAGGCTAAAAACACAGTGTTGTTCTTGCAAATGGAGGCTTATAGTCTACAGTACATTTGGGCAGGGAAGGGTAGATCCCTGTAATCCATCTGATGGGTGGGCCCGTTATAGGTGTATTAGGGGGAACCCTGGTATCCAGCTGGTGCGGAGCCCCTGGTATAGGTGCATGGGAGGATTTTAGGTAAATATCTGGGGCGGGGGTTCCTGTTACAGATGCAATGGGGGATCCCCATTACTCATCTGGTGGAGGGGTTCCTTTTACAAGAACATTGTGTTATCCATCTGGTGGGAGGTCCCTATTATAGGTGCATGGGAGACCCCCTGTTATACATCTGGGGGGGTTCCTGTTATAGGTGCATGGGGATCCCCCTTACCCATCTGGTGGGGGTCCATTATAGGTGCATGGGGGACCCCCCTTACCCATCCAGGGCCGGGTGGGGGTCGCTAACAGTCTGGGGGAAGGGTGTTTGATTAACGCATCTCAGGCACTTACTGTGTTGGGGTGTGAAACTCCCACCCTTGACATCAGCACCAGCGTGCCAAGTGACGTCACATCGGCACACGGTGCCGTCAGACGACGGGAACTGGCAAGCTGGTACGTGAAGACGTCGCTCACGCGCTTGCCTGGATGAGCCCACGGCGCAGGGGGATGACGTGTTCTGTCTCTGCGTCTGCGGAAGTGACGGCCGAAGCGGTGGCGGTGGGTGGATCCCGGAGCGGTGGGAGTTGGGCAGCGTCTCCTTTCCCCAGTCCCGGCTCGGCCTCCCCGCTCCGCCATGTCCGCGCCCGGCAGCGGCGGCGAGTTCGGGAACCCGCTGCGCAAGTTCAAGCTGGTGTTCCTGGGCGAGCAGAGCGGTGAGCCGGGCGGGGCCATGGCTGGGGTGGGGGCGCCGGGGGCAGGGTGGAGCGAGAGGGGTCCGTGCCTGGGCGGGGGAGGACTTGGGGGCAGGGGGGGGTCCGTGCCTGCGGCATGGGGGGGTGTCTCTCTGTTACTGGGGGGGGCACCCGGAGCTGGGGGCGGGGGTCCAGGCCTGGGGCGGGGCAGAGCCGGGAGTGGGGGTGCGGTGTGGCCAAGTGGAAGAAACAGACTCAGTGGCTGCATCAGTGGCCCGGGGTGTGGCCCCGTGGGTTTCCGCAGGAGCTGCAATCATCCCGTCCGTGATTTCTAGCCTCTCGGGGCGGGAAGGGCGCTGCTGTCGTCTACCTGGTGCTCTTCGCACAAGGCCAGACCCAGATCTTAGCCCAGCTCACCGTTCCTGGTAATGGCTGGCTGTGTCCCTGCTACTGCTGCCCTGAGCTGCTGTGTGGGGTGTCTAGCCAGGCTGTCAGCTCTCCAGTCCTTAGCCATGGATAAGACCTTATCTGCATCACTGAAATCCGCTGTTCTGACAATGATATGCTCCTGTCAGCACACTTCTAACATGCTTGGTGACCAGGCACAAGTGCCCCAGCCAGATCACCAATGTGGATGGAGGTGTTTGGGGTTAGAGTATGAATGTTGCAAATAGTTCTTCTCTTACTCTTCTGCAGTGCACTGGTTGTGATATCCCCAAATACACAGTTTCTGTCAGCTGTGTCAAGAACTGGGAGTGGACACCCAGAGAGTAATGCAACTGAAATGGCTTTAAAAATGGCCTAGTGTGGATGGGGGACAAAACTGCATTGGTTCAAAATATGATTCAGTGTGGACAGTGTAGGCACACTGAACTTTTTATATTAATGGTGGTTCAGTCCCACCAGTTCAGTTCTTCAGTGAAGACAGCCCACTGTGTTTGCTGTTGGCATTATCCAGCCTTGCAAAATTCTGCTCACTCACTTTTGAGCAAGTGAGTTTAAAAAAAGCTCACTTTTTTATCACAGGGTAAGCAAGCAGACTTTTATATCTTGGCTGGCTAATGTTCATAACATGTGTGAGGTTGCAGTAACATATGTGCACATATAAAGCACTGAGATTACTATTGAGGTTCTTAGTGGGAAATCGGTCTCTCCACAGGCTGAAAGCTACTGGGTTTAGAGTAATTCCACATTTCTGGGAGCTGCATGTGTAGGGTGTTCTTGAGTACGGTAAAGAGATTTCAGGAATCCCACTCTCTGCACTTGTGGGAGAATTGCATTATCTTGATGCATTTCCACTAGACCGGTTGGGGGAGCACCGTGCCCAGGTGCAAACAGTCAGAAAAGGCTTTTTCTGTTGCTCTGCTGAAAGCTCACATTTTTGAAGAAGGATGGTCAGTGGTTAGGGCACTAGCCTGATGCTCAGGAGACCACGATTCACAGGCTTTCTGCGTGACCTTTGGGAAGACATTTAGTGTCTCTGCCTCGTCCTCATGTGAAATGAGAATAATAGTACTTCCCTACTTCACCGAAGGGTTGCAACTAAGGATAAATATTTAAAGATTGTGGCCCCGCCACCCTAATTTCCCACAACAGTGAAAACTGATATTGATAAAAATAGAAAAAATATTTAAAAATAAACATGGATATTGTCAGTCAATATTATTTAAAAAAATTAAATTCTGTCAAGTGTAATTATGATCCAAGTGCTATAATGTTGTCGTTTCAGATCTGTGTGGACAGAAATTACCATTTCATAAGTGTTAATAAACTGTAACTAACCATGGTTTGGTAGCTATCTACTCCAAAATATGGTTAAAGCACTTATGGTGACTTCTGTCCGGCATTGTAGAACACAATTGCAAAATATGATTATCCCCAAATGTGTTTAAGCAGCTGTTTTTTAGCATAGACTAGGGCTGAAAGTGCAGTGTTAAGAAGCTCTATGAGGGAGCATGGTCCAGCTTGGGAAGGCAATAGAGGGAGGGTCACTGCAGTATGGGGGGTTGGGGTGGTAAAGGAGAACATGAGAAAATCGAATGATCGCATAAGGCAAATTCCCCAGTGGTGGTCTGCGGAGTGCTTGGTTGTCCATGGAGAGCTGATTAGTGCTGGCTCCTCCCCCATTCAGCTACTAAACAGTGCTTAAGGAAAGCTAAAAATATATTGTTTTCCTAATGTTACTATCTATGATGGCAATGGCTGTAGTTTCCACAGATAAGTTAAGCAGTTGTGAATGGATAGGAAGGGATCCATATTAAAATGTGGACCCTGTTATGAAACCACTTGATAGCTCCTGTCAAAAAATTATGCCCTCTTCCCATGAAGAGAAAGAGAGGGTGCTCAGAAGCATTGGTGCAACTGAGAAAAGTAGATACAAGTGAAGAAACAGAGCGCCTGATTTCATACCTGGTATAAGCAGGTGCAATTCCCATAGACATCTCTAGGTCAAACTCCATAGTGATGTAAATGGGATCGAAGTTGCATATTGGTATTAAATAGCCAAAAAATAGCATAAGTGGTATAGTAGTGTAACTTATATAGCCGCTCTCATCCCCTCCCATGCAGTTCCACTTAACCTCTCTCTCACTTCTGGCTCTTCCCCTCACAACAGAGGCATACTTTATCTAGTTCCTCCCATCTTAAAAAAAAATCTTTATCCCAATTGCCTTTGCAGCTACCTCCCCTTCTTCCTTCTGTCTCTAAGCTCTTTGTAAACAGAGCAGTCAATCGCTGTCTAGAGTTGCTTTCCAGTCTGGCTTTCTTCCGCTTGCACTCTGCTGAAACCACTCTTGTGAAAGTCTTTAATGATTTATTCCTAGCCAAAGTTCTGAACCAGTACTCCAGCCTCATCCTCCTTGACCTATCAGCCACCTTTGACATCACAGACCATCCTGTTCTTGAAATGTTGTCCTCTCTTAACTTCAGTGACTGTCTTCTCCTGGTTCTCTTCCTACCTCTCGTTGCTCCCTCAGCATGTTCTTCAAAGGATTCTCCTCATCCCCCTTTCAGCTAGTTGTGGGGGTTCCACTGGACTCTGTTCTTGGTCCTCTTTTCCATCTCTGGATTGTCTCATCTGCAAACACAAATTCAGCTGCCATCTCTATGGTTACGACTTGGAAATCATCTTCTTCTCCAGACCTGTCTCCAAACTAAAACTTCAGCCTCTCTCTGACTTCTCATTGTAGCTGTCTAGTCATAAGCTCAAGCTTAACATAGCTAAAACAGAACTCTTGATCTTCCCTCCCCAGTACCTCATTTTTCAATCACTGTGGACAACACCACTGTTCTGTGTATCTCACAGGCCCATAACTTGTGCATCATCTTTGACTCAGACCTGTAGCTTCTGCTGATTGTTTCTGCTTCGCATCTCTGAGATACAGCCTCTCCTATCCATCCACACAGCTAAAACTCTCATCAAGGCTCTCCTCTTGATTACTGCAATATCTTTTTTGCTGGCCTTGACAAGTGCAAGCATTTACTTCACTCCCTGGTTCAATAGACCACAGAGGACCTTAGCTGAGCTTAGAATTTACCCCACCTCTTTCTAGCAAGGGTATATGTTTCTCATTGAGGGTGAATCCCAGTAAGAGCTCTTAGGTTGCTTGGTATTATTCCTCCATCTTCTTAGATCAACCATGCCACTGGATACCATAAAGATGACCTTCCTGGTGGAGCTTAGCTTGTTTGTCTTCTGTTATCCTACCATTCTGCCCACTGAAGCCATTGAGATTTCACAGCATTTATTATTTTTGGTTCTTCCGTGACTTTCTGCAGTTCCCTGTTAGATCTTCACCACACAAACTTGCCACACTCATATCCATTCAAAATATTACTGCAAAGTTCACTTTACTAGCCCATTGTTTTGACCATATCATCCCTCTCTTTGCATTTCTTTACTGGCTCCCACTTTTCTATTGCATCACACATGAGCTATTTGTCTTCATTTTCAAGGCCCTTCACGGCCTGTCCCTACCCTCCCTATCATCTCTCATTCACTATTGAGATGTCAGCTCCTGCCTCTAATCGGCCCATGATACCAACCTCCATTACCCACTTGTTAAATTTTCAAACAAGCAGCTTCATGTGCTACCCCTCATACTTGTGAGGAGCTCCCATAAGTATCGACAAAGCTACCTCGTTATCTACTTTCAAATCCCTCCTTAAAAAATTCCTTGTGTGATATGCCTACAAAAAATGGTTAGTCTGCTAGTGTGCTGAGGCCACTGCCTATCATGCTGTCCAATACTGTCACACTGTTTCTTTGTAATCCACCCCACCTCTGTCTGTATCCATTTGTCTCTTAGTTAGATTGTGCACAGTTGGGGCAGGGACTAGCTCATTGTTCTGTTTGCGCAGAGCCTAATACAGGGGTAGGCAACCTATGGCACGTGTGCTGAAGGCGGCATGCGAGCTGATTTTCAGTGGCACTCTCACTGCCCGGGTCCTGGCCACCAGTCCGGGGGGCTCTGCATTTTAATTTAATTTTAAATGAAGCTTCTTAAACATTTTAAATACCTTATTTACTTTACATACAACAATAGTTTAGTTATATATTATAGACTTATAGAAAGAGACCTAAAAACGTTAAAATGTATTACTAGCACGCAAAACCTTAAATTAGAGTGAATAAATGAAGACTCGGCACACCACCTCTGAAAAGTTGCCGACCCCTGGCCTAATACAATGGTGTCCTGGTCTGTGTCTGGGGCTTTTAGGTGTTACAATACAAATAACTTACACAGATTTGGCACTGTTTTGGGTGAGCAAAATGAATAATTTTTAGATCCCATTAACACTTCAGCTAGAACTAAGTTGAGGACCAGGTTACAGTATACTTAGTAATTAACTAGTACAACCTTGAAAATATCATGTGACTTGGTTAGGTCTATTCTACACTATATTTTAACCATGTTGTGACTGGGTTCTTTGTCTAGATATTTTGTAGTATAGACAATTCCTTACAGGCCAAAGAAGGTTGTAGCAAGAAGAGCAACGAACATTGAGTTTGGAAGCTTTATCATTTGAATTAACAGTGCTTTGCGGGAAGCAGCCTTACTCCTTTTCTACCACTTGAAAGTAATTATTTTTTTCTCTCCTCCTGCAGTTGGGAAGACATCTCTGATCACCAGGTTTATGTATGACAGTTTTGACAATACTTATCAGGTGAGTGGGAGCCCAGTAAATGCTTTCTTTTATCAAAATATATCAAATTCCTTCATTGTTTGGGAAGAACTGACCTTTCAAGAACTGTGATAAAAGCTACATTAGCCTAGGATTGCATCCCTGACTATCTTGGCTAATAGACATTGATGGACCTATCCTCCATGAATTTATCTAATTCTACTTTGAACCCAGTTATACTTTTGGTCTTCACAACATTCTTTGGCAATGAGATCCTTAGGTTGACTGTGCATTGTGTGAAGAAGTACTTCCTTATGTTTGTTTTTAAACTGCTGTCTATTAATTTCATTTGGTGACCCTTGGTTCTTGTGTTATGTGAAGTTAGACGCATGATGTTTCACATAGGTAGGTGCTGATATCTCAGTGCCATATGGAGATAGATAAGATGTGGAACCTGTGTAACTCTCCCTCCTTACGGTGGCTACACAGTTCCCTGCCTACACTGAGTTTCCCAGCATGTCAGACTGCCTAGACAAGTCAGTATGAGCATTTTGCTTTCTTCTCAGAGGCTATAAACAGCATAATTGCCCACCGTTATGAGTTCTCACACAGCCCATTCTAAGCAAGCACACTTAGTCTTAAGGTGAAAGCATTTCAGAGAAAACATATTAAACAATAAAAGATCCTACACACACCAATAAGCTTTACCAGAGAGAATTCAACTCCCACAAGGGCTCTGGCAGGTGATCAGTTCTTCAAATCCCACCAAGGGTTTTTTCTGTGGTTCATAACAGCTGTTAGCTAGAACAGGCACTCCCATGAATTTGTAGTTTAGGCTTTGATCTTCAGATTCCAGGAATAGGTAATCTGCAGACAATGGGTTTCTCCTCAGGCCATAGCTTCAATAGGTTGGATCAGGAGGTGGGAATTTGCATTCACCTCCTCCCAAGCATTTCCTAGGAAACCCACTTAATTTTGTCCCAAAAGTTCCTTCTTGTCTGGTACTTTGTTTAAAATAGTCCTTTGACGCTCAGAACGCTTCCCAGGGTTTACATTGGTCACATCTCCTCCCTAAAGAAGTTATGCAATCCCACAATAAAAGATAAGGTTTGCATGTATACTACAATGGATTCCAAAGCTACTTAAACTTAATTCAATGAGGTCTTGCAAAGATATTGCAGAAAATTGCTGTATCTATCACACTTTGTAAGACACTCTCTCATGGACAGATTGAGGCGATAAATGCACATGAACAACTTTAATTGGAAGATTTTTTGATACTAATAAATATAATACTTTACAAACCAGTATAAGCGGATAAATTTCAGGTTACTAAGACTTTTTTTCCCCTTCTTTTCAGGCAACCATTGGAATTGATTTCCTGTCAAAGACAATGTATCTAGAAGACCGCACGGTGAGTGAGGACTCTGTAATTAACCTGGCAAATGCAGTCACAAGAGCAGCAGTTGTCCACGTACACAATGTTTCTACCTGGTTCTTCATGCAATGGCCATTCCTCCAAACCCCACAGCAGCCTTCACAGGGACAGTGTTTAACAGGAGTTGCCAGACCTAGTCAGGCTAGTAATCTGTCTTGCATGGAATCCTGTTTCCTGTTGTACTGGCTCAAACCATTTCTGGTACTTGTGATAATACTGGCTGCTTCAGAGGAAGGTCAAAAAAGCACTATGCAAAATTGGGTCAAGTTCACAAATCCATATGCCTGGAGAAAAGGGCTGTCTTTGTGTTGTACTTGTTGCTGCTATATCACAGGCATAACATGCTCATTCTCATAAGTGGCTGCAATGCTGACTTTGGGACTGTCAGTATAAATGGATCTAAGTAGACCAGGGTGATTCTGCTCTGTGAAGTCACTGAAGATTTCTGAGGATAACAAGGTCACTTCTCACAGTACAGGCGGCTAGATAAGTCAGTAACATAATTCTAACCTACAACATTCAGATGATAAACATCTCTCTGAATAAAATCAGTGATGGAAGGAAAATGTTCAGTGAACCAATACAGTTAAGTGTGTAGGCTACATGATGTTCCCTGTGCATAGAGAAGCCCCCTAGATTTCTCTCCCATTCCTTTTGGTATATTTACCTGTTGAATCTCAAATGAGTACTCATCACTGGCTGAGCAGGTGAAACTGGCCTTCCTTTGGAGACAGTCGCTGGTCCTGAGTGATGTGATGCTAACCCTTCTGGTTAGGTGACACTGGGCATGCTGCCTCTGCACCTGATCTTCAAACCAGAGCAACATCCCTCTCTCTGGTCCACTGTGGCAGAGAATGAATTTCCTAACTGCCTTCCTCTTGCATTATTTCCACTGTTAGCTTTCTGGGTCATGTAGGGGGACCACCAGAGGCCATAAAGCCTGTTAAGAGGGCAAAGATGGCAAAATGGGAGATGAAACAGGAGCAAAAATACCTGCTCTCAGGTTGTCTGCATGTCTCTTCTCACAGGGCCTTGTATAATCTAGCACCAGCCAAGTCTGAGACAAGGCTCTGGCTGCCATGCTGGGATAGAAGCATGACAGGGCCTTGCTTGCACAGTGGGCTAATTAACATTTTGGTGCATACTTGGTTTGGTGTGTTGGATGTATCCTCCCTTCAGAGCTATCCTTGTTCCAGATGCTCAAACTCTAAATCCATTCTGCGTTGCCTGTACCAGTGAACAGAAGAAACAACTGTCTGTAGCCCCTAGTGCATGTACTTTTCATTCTCAAAATCAGCCCTAAGTAAATTGCCAAGAAAAACACTCACAGGCTTTGACTGTGGGAAATAGAACACAAACATGCTGCTTACAACTCTTTGCTTGTCGGGTGGATGAGACACACCAAATTAAATGGAGTGTTGAGGAATCTCATTTACCTTAATGAGTACCCATAACTGTCAGACAGAGCTCCATGTCACGCTACAACCTCAGTCTGGGAGGATGGATGGAACTTTGTCCTTCACCTCTCAGTATTGCTCACTAACAGGCTGAATTCTCAAGTACAAGTTCAAAGCTTTGGGGCTTCATTCTTCTTCATACTATGAATCTTTAACTTGTGTGATCCTGGAATGGAAGAGAGGAATAGGCTGCTGAGGTGTGGAGAGATTTGGCCTGGAACTGAAGCTCCACTTGCCCTCAGCCATCACACTGTCTGGGTGCAGTTCCCAAGTCAGCATGATTGGTAGGTTTTTCTAGATTTTTTTTTTTAGGGCTTGTGAAAACTGGTCTCACATGGCACAACCTTCATCAAGAGGTAAGGAAGAGCCCAGTTCTATGGCAGCAATGTCAACTGTTAGTACATTATCTTGGGATGGTGTGAAATCTGAGTGAGCACAGAGGGCTTGCAGGTGGTCCTGCTTTTTAGGCTCTCATGTAATGGCTTCCAGTGTCATCTGTTGTATGTATTCCCTTTTTCCACTGTGGGATCCTCTGTTCTGAGCATGAGTGACGACGGTAAGCAAGTTTGGAGGGTGTTTGATAACACTATATCAGGAGAGCAGACACCCCAGTTGAATGTGGCTGGGGCCTCACGCATTATCCTACCTTTGTGCTTTAGACCTTATAATGAGATTAAACAAAGTCCCTCTTGGCTCCATAATGAGCTAATCTATGACAGGCTCCAGGATGATTTAGTCCTTATTTATTAGGTGTGACTGCATACAGCCATATGTAGGCAGCAAGCATTGTGGATAGCCCTGTCCTGTCGGACTGCCAAAATGTAGTGATACAGGTACACGTTAATGATTCATCTCTGGTGGATGCTGTTAGAAGTGATTTTATGAGGGATGTTTTGGTTTTCCACCGAAATAGGGTGTCTCTCACAGGTCAGCAGGTAGAGGTGGAAGCTGAGTGATGGTTCTGCCATGTTAGTTGCGGCCATTGCATGGAAGGGATGGAGAGGTACCTTCATCACTCTTCATTCTTCTGCACTGCATTTTTGTTCCATTTTAACTTTCCTTTGAATGTTTGTTTGCATTATTTTTTGCCTTGCAAAATAGTTTTTCTTTTTATTTCACTTGGGTTTTGGTTTTATTTTGTTTCCATTTTTCCTGCTCTTCCCCTTCCTCTCCCCCCCACATTTTTCCATTTCCCAGATCAGGCTGCAGCTGTGGGACACAGCCGGCCAGGAGAGGTTCCGCAGCCTCATTCCCAGCTACATCCGTGACTCTGCTGCAGCTGTCGTTGTCTTTGACATTACAAGTAGGTACTGAGCCTGAGCTCCTGCAGGGGCCTTGCTGTTAACAGGTGCCCTCTAAGTGGAGGAGACAGCTCTGTTTTTGGAAGGAGCTCATTTCCATATGAGGTGGGGCTAGGCTCGCAGCTAGAGCCCTGCAGGTGTTTTGTGGGTGGATCTGCTGCCTCTGGGGGAGGTAGCCGAAGTCTCTTCTTTCCCGCTTCCAAAAGTAATTCCATCAAGGCTGCTTAGGGAATTGGGAAATCATTGATTTCTATTTACTCATATCTCAAACCTTAAAGATGACCTACAAAGGGTGTGTACGTGTGCGAATTGGATTTATGCCTTTTTATATCCCTCTGTGTTATTAAAAAAGGCCTTAAGGGTTTTTCAGAAGCTTTTATCTACTTGTTTTAATACTAGAACTGTAGGATTTCTCTGGACAAGTAGAGCACTGGAAGGAATTTGACAAAGATACCAAAGAAGGGAAACCTGAGTGGGGGGAGTAACTTTTTTTTATTTTCAAACTGTCTGAAACTGTATAACACCAACTTAAAAAACTGCACCGTGCACGTCTGGGTTGTCCAAAGAGCCTTCTAACAAAAAGGGAAAGGCAAGACTTAATATTCCTGGCATTTCTAAAGAATAAACAACTTTGAAGGGAAAACACCCATCATTCAAACTTTCTCGAAATTAAAATGGTCTTGTCTATATGGGAGGTGTAAGCTAAGGGGTGAATTTAAATTGATAGTTGTACTGGTATAACCCCTGGGGTAGACACTTATTCCAATATTAAGAGTTCCCTTTCTTGGTTTAGTTTATCACTTGGGAAATCAAAAAGTGATTTATATCTGAAGAAGTGTCCACATGGAGGGTTATACCAGTATATCCATATGGTATAGACTAGACCTAAGTAAAATAAAAAACACTGCCCCAGTAGTTTTTTCTTTCTAGATTCACTTTAATCTAGAGTTTAGGATACAGTATTCTAACTTCTAAGGTTTTATGGGTGGGGACTTCCTTTACTTTTGTCTTGCACTGTGCTGAGTACATAAATATTTAACAAGTAAGATCACTTTTCTGTTTGAATTTCCCCCAATGATTTGTAGTGGGGACAAGCAATTGAGGTCTCTGTAATTTCCAAGATTACTCCACTTTGGGAATGATTGTCTGAGACTTCCTTCAGGGAAAGGCCTCTGGGGTGGCAGAACATACAAATGTAATGTGCCATAGGGCACCATGCAGGAATTTGAGGGGAAAACAAGGACAAGTCTGCCTTCTGGACATAGACATGGACATCCTCGGATATACATTGGGAACAGCTCTAGCTGAGGTTGGAGTTTGAGAGACAGGATGCGCACTCTGCCAGTCTGTGATGACATCTGTCCCGGGATGGATATTGTGAGGAGCATAACACGCTATTCAGCCTGTTCTGCAGCAGGCTATGGGAAGCTTCTAGTTCTGTTTGGACTTGGAGTGAAAGATTGTGCTTATGCAGCCCTGGCCACAAATGAAATGGTGAGAGTTGGGGATAGGAAGGATGTTACAATTGTTTCCTTTATTCTCCCCACACACACTAAAAAAAAAAAAAAGACGTGCATATATGCAGTCTGTCCCCACAGCAACTTCAGCTTCTCCAAACAACTTAGGCTCCAATAAGTCAAAACCAGGGGTTCTCAAACTGGGGATCAGGACCCCTCGGGGTCGCGAGGTTATTACGGGGGGATCAACCTCCACCCCAAACCCCACTTTGCTCCAGCATTTATAATAGTGTTAAATATATAAAAAAGTGTTTTTAATTTATAAGGGGGGTCGCACTCAGAGGCTTGCTATGTAAAAGGGGTCACCAGTACAATAGTTTGAGAGCCACTGGTCAAAACAGTCTAGCAGGTCAGCAAAGCTGTGGCACTCCATACGACATACTTGGGTGCCTGCTGAGACAAGCTGGCAGAGCGGGAGCTCAGCTGGCCTTGGGGGAGTGGTGAGGAATAAATCCAGAATGAGTGCTTGAACCTCTCAGTAACACTTTCTAGATACGGAGGAACATGAGTGGCAGCCGTGTAAGTGAGGCAGCTTAAACTCCATCTTGTTTGGACCCTGCCTGGGTGAATGGGAGGTGGGCAGCAGTGATGTGGGGACCACCATGGAGGTGCATCATGAAGCTAAGGAATGGGCCTAGGGTACAAGTCTCAAACCTGAATCTTGAGGGCTGGTATACAGTGTAGCCTAGGGGCTGGGATTCACTGTTTTGGATTTCCTCTGGCACTGGGGGACGCTAGCACAAAGAAGTGCCCTTTATAGGAGAGGGAAGGGCACCAAGGAGTTGAACACTTAAAGTTAGACCCCAACGCACCTGAAGCCACAGGGCAATGGAGTGGATTCTAGTGCTGGTACCATGGGGGTTTGGAGAGGTGGTCTGCCAAAGCTTCTCCAAGAACAAGTCTCTTCCTAAACAGAATTTGGCAGTCTGCCCTTCTCTTTCCTTAGTAAAAACGGCCACCTTCATCTTATAGCTAGCGTTGGGCACCTGCAAGCTCACTCAACTAACATGCTCTTTCAGGCATAAAAAGGCCACTGTTCCAAACTGCTGAGCAATTAGCATTTGTAAGCACATCTAGCCTGCTTGGATACTCCTACTAGGTCCTTTCTGGGGCTTCCTCTAGCTCACACTAAACGTGTTTGATCACTGAAAATGTCAGTAGCAGGCTTTTCTTGCCCCGTCAGACTGTTCAGCAGAGCAGTGCTGCTAACGGGATGACAGTTGGCAGCATTTTGGGGAGGGGGAATGGGAAATCTGAGGTGAAACTACTTGATATATTTTATTAAGCATTTGTTCACTCACCGTTGTGGTATCTAGGAGCCTTTTTTGAGCCCTGACACTTCATGTAGGTAGGACACACCTTCAACCAGGCATAATCATCGTTACTTCTTTCTGACCTCCCAAGAACCTGTGGATGTGAGGGTGGAGTGGGAGAGGGAGAAATAACATTTTTAAATTGTGGTGTCTCTTGTAGCCCCTTTTGTGCTTTGGATATTCTGACTGAGCTAATATGGCTGCTGTGCTAGAGACCAAACTGTCCTCTTCTTACCAAGTAACTGGTGCATGTTTCTGCTTTTCATGTTTTCCTGCAAGGGAGCATCAAATGCCATTTGTGGGCTGGGGCTTGCTGCGTGTGCTTTTTTTTCTTCCTGAAACCTCTTGACCTAAGCTTACACGAAAATCCCCATTACCCTTTTTTGGATGCTTGATGCTGAGGAGAATGTAGATGCTATTTCACTACGTGGTCTCCTGAAGAAGTTGTCCCTTGTCTTTGCATAGAGTATAAATCTGAGAATTACACAAGGGGCTCAGATCTGAGATTCTAGCTCCCTAGACTAGGCCCTGGTCTACAGTGGGGGGGAGGATCGATTTAAGTTACGCAACTTCAGCTACGTGAATAACGTAGCTGAAGTCGACTTACTTAGATCGACTTACCGTGGTGTCTTCACCGCGGTGAGTCGACTGCTGCCGCTCCCCCGTCGACTCTGCTTGCGCCTCTTGTGGCGCTAGAGTACAGGAGTCGACAGGAGAGCGCTCGGGTCGATTTATCGTGTCTAGACTAGATGCGATAAATCGATCCCCGCTGGATCGAGTGCTATCCGGTGGGTAGTGAAGACATACCCTAGGTGTGTTAGGGAGGCAGCATACTCCTCCCTTGGAGGGAATGGTCAACATGGTAGGTTACTTATTGGCCACCTTTCACAATGTTAAATAGTGTTGATGGGTACCAGTGGGTGTCCTTTTTGGTTGGAATGGCAGTAGCCTCAAGGTAGAGCTCATGGGTATGGGGAGTGGAAGCGTGTGAACTTCATGGGACTCCCAGGCACACAGAAGGGGTAATTAAAGTAGGCCTTCTTACAGCCTGAAATAGACAGAACAGCTGGGTTCACTGCTCTTTGCCTGTTCAGGGGGCTGGTCAGCAAGGCAAATATCCAGTTCCCAGACTGAGACCTGTAAACAGTTAGTTCTGGCAAATAGCCTTTTCTCTAAAGGACAGTTTCCTCCTTTCTTCTTTCTCTCTCTCTGCTCTTTCTGCTCTCCCTGGCCTGGTACCAGCAGGTTCGGCTACAGCTTTGGGACACAGCAGGCCAGGAGCGGTTCCGCAGCCTCATTCCCAGCTACATCCGCGACTCCACCATTGCTGTGGTAGTCTATGACATTACAAGTGAGTGGTGCTTTGATGTCTCATTGTGTTTGAAATGCTACACTTGAGCGAGGGGCTAGTAAGTGTACAGTCATGAGTTATTACGGAAAGATAACATTAGAAACATAACTGTCTCTTCCCTTCTGGGTGGACAAGAAGCAATCCAAGGATGTCATCTATGCAGTGCTGGGGGAATTGGCAAAGCATAGGGGTGAAGACACAGGTAGTTTTAGAAGTGTTTCATTATCCCCTTGTTTGAAAGAGCTTCTAGTTAATGTGTTCAATCCTCCCCTCTTCACACAGATCTAAACTCATTCCAGCAAACCTCCAAGTGGATTGATGATGTGCGAACAGAGAGAGGAAGTGATGTCATCATCATGTTGGTGGGGAATAAAACTGACCTGGCAGACAAGAGGTAATGGAGGGGAATTGGTGACCTTGCCAGTTTGACAGCAAGTGGCTGGTATACTTTTTAAGGGGACCACTAACTGTTCTTAAGCCCAGACTACAATGGCCCTTTGGGGCTTAAGTAGCCTGTGATGAGTGAGATTCCCACTGTCCTTGCTGTTTGTTCCATAACATATGTAATAGAATGCCCAAGGTGCTTTGTCTTGTTATAAACTGTACAAATCATGGTTAGAACAAAGTCAACTGAAAAAGCTTCTCAGGCTACCAAAACAAGCACCTGCTCCACACTGTTTGGTACAAAACACGCCCCTAATAGGGAGATAAGACTGAAAAAGTAACTTCACAAAAGTCAGGAAATTCTGGTTCCCACAGCAACATTAAATGGGTCTTTGTGCATGGCAAATGTAAGAGGCCCTGTCAAGTCTAATTTGGCATCAGATGTAGGTGTGTGGAAAACAGATTTTACAAAATCTGAGGTCAACAGAGAGGCTTCCTACAAAACAGAATTCCCTGCAGTAGCACAGCACTGCAGTGTTTGGAACCAGCAAATGAAACAATCTCACAATTAACCAAAATGAATCTGGCCACTCAACTGTCCAAAACGAGAGATGTAAAAAGTAAGCTTGACTCTTCAAACTCAGTTAGGTTTACTAATGTAAAATGCTACTAGTATGTTAAAGAAAGCAGTTCAGTTTTTGAAAAATATTTTAAATGTGACAGTGCCACTTCAGCATGTGCAGTAGGGTAGTTAGTATCCTAAGGGACCAGAGGCTTGCATTCCTGAATCTCTTAACTTCAGATTCTCATCCTTAATGTTGAATTCAAGCTTATTCCATTGATTGAAATTTACTTTGTATAAAGGACAAAGTGCACTGAGATTCAAATGTCACATAAGTACCATTATGATGGACACAATAGAAATATTGTAGATACAAATAGCTTCTGTGCCTTTATTTCATGGTGTATAACCTCTTAAGCATGTTTGTTCATGTATATCACGTGCTAGGCACCTCAGCACATTGTTAGTGAGGGAAAAATTAGACTGCGCAGTATTTTTTGAACTATTAATTTCAAAACTGTTACCTTCAACTGTGTCAAAAGCACTAACTTTACTGAGTTCTGAGTTCCATGGAAAATTTGCTTCAAGTTAACCTATTTGAGTTTAGTGTACAGTAAAAATCTAAGTTGCTGAACTGGGGAAAACACTTGGAACTTTCACAGCCAAATGCAGTCTTACCAAACTAAAACAATTTACCCCAGGCTGCCCACAAGATACTTCTGTCTGCTGGGTGAGTTTCAAGCCATAAGAGGAATTTAAACAGAAATGCTTTGTCAAACATAATTCTTTCACCGGTGCGGTAGCCATGCTAGAAAAATTGTAAACATTCAGCCAAACACTCAGTTGGCTATTTAATTTCCTCTGCTTTGACGTGAGGCTCAACAAGATGTCTGACTGTACAACTCTGTTACAGGGGTATTTTTAATACTTTAGAATTTTTAAATCTGATTTTTATTTTACCATTTCCATGAAGTATAAAAATCATTTTAGAGTTTACTGCGTGCATTCTCTGCTTCCCCCGTTGTGTTGGAGTTATATTGTGCTCATGTGACATGATACTCAACCTTGCAAGTGCATATTGCTGCCATGAGAGTCTCATTTTCTCTTTGGCCCTTGTCTACCCTTACCACTTCCCCTTCACTGGGGAGAACATGCCTTGCTGCTGTGTTCAGCTTTCCAGCCCCACTGGGAAGAACATGTGCAGTTCTGTTAAACCATCTTGCAGTGAGTTACTAACAGAGGCTAGGCTCCTACACACTATGCCACCTTAGTAGTGGGCTACCGACAGATGCTCTGTGCCAACTGAATTAAACCATTGTCATGTTTTCTTCATTCCCCTGTAGCTCTACTATAGTTCACTTCTGTTTTCAAAGCTCCTTTCTACTAAGGTTACTTTAGAGTCCCAGCTTCAGAGGACGCCACCATAAATGATGCCTTACCATACATACCAGGAATATTGAAAACTCTTCCCACCCAGGAACAACTTAAACTAGGTTGTAATTAACACACATCAAATGGTCTGGACTGAGAAATCTGGCTGACAAGGATTCCAAGCTGCCTCACTTTGGATCAGCCAGGGAAAGTGACTACAAGATAAAACATGAGAACCGTGCTCTATCCACAATAACAGTATGGCCTGAGCAATTAGTACTTTATGTCCTTCCTGGGTGCCCAGAATAATATTAGTCTTCTGGCTCTCAGATTTTGGGCTTTCTAATTTTTAGCAAGCTTGTGGAATCTGCCACTCTTGTCTTTTTCCAGCACTGGAAAATACAGTAGGAACCTCATCAGTCACAGGATGACTGATGGGACAGAAGTGTAGGGCATCCTGTGTATGCCAGCTCATCATTTGTACCAGCCCTAACAAAAAAGCCAGAGACTTTGCCATGCTTGCAGTATACCTGTAGTTGGAGTGCATGTGGCATTAGAAATTCCCTCCCAGTGGGGTAATCTAGGTGGTACCAGATGCTTTGTCTAGACCAGGAATTAAAGGTGATGATGTTAAATTGAGCTAGTTAATGTGATCCAACACCTAAAACTCTGGTCAAAGCAAGAACCTGCCTTTTCGTGCCTAGAGTTTTAGGTGTTCAGATCATGTTGGTTAGTTAAAATACTGCATCTCTAATCCTAAACTAAACAAAGCCCTAGTGTCAATCTGAGCCTGGCCATGATTTCTGTGTCTTGATAAAGCCCTCAGGAAACTGTTAGCCCTTTGAGAAGAACCAGGTACTGTCCTCTAAGCTGTAGTGTCAAACATGTTTAAAGAGTTGAGCCATTTATTTAATTTGTCATTTTATTTTGTGTAGTCTGTATGTTTTCTTTCCAAGCTAATATTATTTCAGTTGCCGGCCAGTTCCTTTGTGGTTTATTTTAATTTCTACTACCATTTCTGTCTAGTTTTCCTTTGTTTTGGTTTCTTTTCTGTGATTTGTTCTCATTGCTGTAGACAGGTTTCTATAGAGGAGGGCGAGAGAAAGGCCCAAGAACTGAATGTGATGTATATTGAAACCAGTGCTAAAGCAGGATATAATATGAAACAGGTATGTACAGGGCGTTCGTCAGAGATGCTCTTGCAGGTGCTTAGCTTCCAAACAGCAGCTCAGTACTTGCTGTTGAATTTCACCTCCTGCTGGAGCCTTTCTGAGACCTTCCTATCACCTTATGGAGTTTCCTTCTGTTGACTTGGGGGACTTGCTTTTTGCATGGCTGCACACTGATTCTGTTGCATTAGGTACAGCTGAAGAGGGCCCTTCCTTCCCCCACAAGGAGGCTATGAATGAGACTTAAGTGTGTTGTTACATGAAACTCACCCGGTGCAGACTCATCCTTATTGGTTATTATAATCTACATATTCCCTCAGCTGCTCATTTGGATTGGTCCCGTCTTAGCTGGAGCATAAGGAGGAGGTAAAGGGAGGGAGGGGCGTAAAGGCTCAGAAGCCCTACGGTCTCCCTTCCTGGACAATGCTCTACTATTAAAATCCTTCACTGAAGAGTGTTTCAGTCACAGAAGTCTCTAACTCATGCCTTCTCTCTCCTGTCTATTCTTCCGTCTCTTGCTCTTTCTTTCCTGTTTGCATCTGTCTGTCCAGGCAAATCACTACGGAGGAAGGTGAGCAGAGAGCCAAAGAGCTGAATGTGATGTTTATTGAGACAAGTGCGAAGACTGGATACAATGTGAAACAGGTAGAGCAGCACTGTGCCCTCAGGATGCAAATTTTGCACTTTCCACTTCACTGTGATCAGGGAGATGAGCTGCTTTATGGGTTTTGTGCTGCATCAGATCTTCACTTCCCACTTTACCCTCTGCCTCTATATTCCCAGCCTCTGAAATTCTTCCCTTTAGGCAGTCAATGTGTCATTTAAATAAAGGAGGCTCCCTCTCCTGCCAAGCCAAGGGGGCTCATTCAGGTAGAATGCTAAGGGATCCTGTCAGCAGCTGACGTATCCTGTTCCCAGACCTGTGACACCAACAATACTTGTTGCTAAAGCATGTCAGAGCTTTGGAAACAAAGCACCTGTGTTCCCTTCAAATCACAGCTAAACTAGTGTCTTGTGGAATTTCCTTTCCCAGGTGGTGGTGGTTTCTGCTGGGACAGAATTAAACCTTGTTCCACATTTACTTTTAAGTACACCCAACATCATTGCTGTCAGGAAATTCTTCATCTCTGATTTGCACTAGTCACAACATGCTGCAGGGCAACAGGTTTGGCAGAGAACCTCACACTTGGGTTTGGGGACTTCTCAAACAGTAACTTCATTTTACTCTTTAACTAGATCACTCTGCACTAGTGTAATATTCTGGGCCTACTCTACTTGATAGCATTGCTTTATTTGCCTAGCAGAAATGTGTAATGCATGAATTTCTGTGATTCTCTAGTGCTGCAAGGTAAGTCCAGCTTTGTGTGTTGTGGCCACAATTACCATCCTGCACCTGAGGCACTATTCATGATTGTCTAAGGTGGGGAAGGAAGAACATGAATAGATAGCCTTTAAGGACAGGCTCTTTTCTATGTGCAGCACTCAAGTCAGCCCCTCCACTCCTGGCTCACTGCCTCAGAGCTTGGATTTCTTTTAACTTTTAAACACCATGTCCCTAGAATCCTGAGCTCATTCTGGAACAAACTAGATCAGTTTAGTGGTGGATAGCATTATCCAGTAACAAAATCAATAACAGCTATGCACAGAAGCAATGGGGTTGGAATGGTAAATTGCTGCCTCTGACTTGCTTCTCTGTTGAGTGAGTGCAGGATTGAATTATTAGCCAGCCTGCTCTTAACATCCTGGCATTTTGTGATGTGTGTGGAGCAATGGTCTGGTACATTTTAAAGAAATAAAAAAGCTGAAGCAAAATCCTGCACCAGAGGTGTGCTTTGTAGATAGTCAGTAACTTACTAAGCTTGATAAAATATTTGAACTGGGGTTGAATAAAGTCCTTAGAGATATTCTTGTGAGGACTATGTTAAATACTGCAGTGCTGGCTAAAATATGTGTATAACTCTTGGCAAAACCTTGGCTTTCCAACAGCAGCGCTAGAGAGAAAATTGAGGTTTATTTTACTTTCTTTGACAAGTTCTGCATTCACCTGTTACTTTGGTTGCTGCCTTTCAGCTTTTCCGCCGTGTAGCTGCTGCCTTACCTGGGATGGACAGCACACCTGAGAAGAGCAAAGAAGACAGTATCCTTGTCTGCTATGCAGTAACTTTCTTATTTCAAGAGTTAGCAAGTTTTCCTTGTTGCCAGGTCTGGCTTGCTGCCCTTGACAGATTGAGGGCAGTCATGGACCTCGATTCAGTTACATTGTTGCAAAGCATAAGTAGCCTTTATATTGTAGTCCTCACTTGCATGTGTAAACTGAGGATCTGCAGCCAAATGTCTTGGCCGCTTCTACCACTGGGGCCAGTATTGAGCTTTTGCTGTTTAGGCTTGGTGTGAAATGGGTTTTGATTTGTAATGATTCAGTATGATCTAATCTTTTCTGATTCTGTATTCTGCAAGCAAGAGATCTGCGGCGATAACAGTTGAATCAGCATGCACTGCCCAGTACAGCACCTACTCTCCTTGATAGAAGCCAGCATTTTAGCAACTACCTGTAGCTTTAAACTAGCGTGACCTGGGATTTGGGGCATTTTTACTATAAATCTGAACTGGTCTTTCTCCATAAATAGCCCATGGCAAACACCTAGCCCCACGAAGCCCCTTGTCTGCTATGCAGTAACTTTCTTATTTCAAGAGTTAGCAAGTTTTCCTTGTTGCCAGGTCTGGCTTGCTGCCCTTGACAGATTGAGGGCAGTCATGGACCTCGATACAGAGGTCCTTCTGACTGGCCTGTCCCCTTCAGAGTGCTGGGTGAAACCAGTCCCCCCACTCTTGCACATCATGTCTGCTTTTCAGTGTACAGTACATGTTCTGCTAATGCATCTTTCCTTCTCCGGAAGGGTGACTGAGAGGCTATTCAGAATTACAGGAGAGAGAACTGCCAAGTGGGGCTTAGCTAGAACCCATCAAACTCAGCTCCTAAATGACTGTCTCAGACTGAAGGGCAGGAACATAGCCTCTGCCAAAGCAACAGTCCATAGAAATTCATTACTTGCCCATGTATCCTAACAGCAACTGGTGACTCCATATGTGCACACATCTGGTATTATAGCATGGGGTGGAGACGGTCAGTTGTTCTTGAGAGGCATGCTTCGTGGGGCTAGGTGTTTGCCATGGGCTATTTATGGAGAAAGACCAGTTCAGATTTATAGTAAAAATGCCCCAAATCCCAGGTCACGCTAGTTTAAAGCTACAGGTAGTTGCTAAAATGCTGGCTTCTATCAAGGAGAGTAGGTGCTGTACTGGGCAGTGCATGCTGATTCAACTGTTATCGCCGCAGCCTTGGTTGTCAGATGTCAAATCTATAGCTGTCACTACAGTACTTCTTCCTAGCTTCAACCTTCACAAAGGCAGCAGCTCTCTACCAATGCCTTCAGACAGCTGTTGGTTCTGGAGATGTCTGCTTCAAAAAACAAACCTCATAGTTCCTGGCATTGATGCCTATGTACCAAGCCACCTAGGTGGCTGCACTTGTTACCCAGTTCTTAACTGTGGAAACCCCCAACTTTACTCCTGGGTTAGGTAAGGTCTATGCTTTGTCCTATGTGTTCTACTGGGCTTGAGTTGTATTGTGATGCTTTGCCCATGACCCTGGCCAGGTGGCTTCCTTAACTTGTCTTTTACAGTGATTGACATCAAGCTAGAGAAACCTCCTGAGCAGCCAGTAACGGAGAGCGGCTGTTCCTGCTAAAGTGCCCGTTGTATAGCAACACTTTCCCTGATTGGCCAGTCTCACCGAAGAGCATCACTTCTCATTGGCTAGGCAAACCTACTTTCTGTGAACTGAAGAAACAGCTAATCAATCTACTAAGTCAGCGAGCTCCCTGTTAGCTGGTGGGGAACAGCCCTGGCTGCCCCTCCTATTGCATGGTATGAGCCCTGAGTGCAGAATGAATGTCATGTCGTCCTCTTTTAGTAGTGCACTTTGGCACCCCGGTGCCCTTTACTCCATCCCACATCTTGGGCCTATCTGCACAGGTGTATTTTTCTGTGAATGCAACAAAAAAGCTGCCACGTTAGGGAAAACAAAAATAAAGCTGGGGGTTGGTTCTCCACCTCCCTAATTGCCTTGCATCTTAATCAGTTTTCCTTCCACTCCAGTAATTTTTTCTCTCCCATGCACCACTTCCTTTTTTTATTTTTTCCCCCCTTCAGAGGCTTCTCCTTTAAAACTAGTCACAAGTTGATGTGGCCTTGCCTGTTTTGAAAGTTGGGGGTGATCTGTTCTCCATGTCCTGCTTCCTGCAGAGGTTGCATAGTACAGGCTTCCCAGTCCCTCCCTCCTGTGGTTGGTCTTAGCCAATTCCTGGGCCTTCTCTTTTGAGGTTTGGGAGAAGGAACTTCCCTGCCCTCCTCACTTCCCGCATCAGTGTGAGTGAGAGCTGAGCACTGGCCATTCTACTCCCAATCTGCTCTAGCACAGGCCACTGATCTTGTTTGCTCCCTTTGTCCTGTGGTGGGTAGAATTCCCCAGGATCACTGGCTTCAGTTGGATTCTTTACCCTGGGGAATGCTGTCAGCTGCAGAGGGGGAGGTTAGACAGACTTGCTGCAGCAGTCTCTGTGGGAGAGCCTGCCTGACTTCATCTGTGGATGACCTGGGCTCTATCTGCAGGCTGCAGATGGAATCTAGAGTTTATCCCTAGGATGGCAGTATTAGGACTGGGCATCCCAGGTCCCATTCTGGTTATCTTCACCTGCAGACTTACTCCTTTTTCTTGTGGAACATGCACAACCTACTGTCTGCTAGCCAGATATAGGATACAAGCTACACAGTTACTAGTTATGCAGAAATGGGGCTTGCACTGCAGAAGTGACTCAATCCAGTGCCAGCAGCTCCAACCAATGTGGTGGAAGGGCAGCTGAGCATCTTGTATTCCACTAGATTGAATCTGGGTAACAGCAGTTTTATTCTTTTAACTGTCTAGTGCAGGGGTCGGCAACCTTTCAGAAGTGGTGTGCCGAGTCTTCATTTATTCACTCTAATTTAAGGTTTTGCGTGCTAGTAATACATTTTAACGTTTTTAGAAGGTCTCTTTCTATAAGTCTATAATATATAACTAAACTGTTGTTGTATGTAAAGTAAATAAGGTATTTAAAATGTTTAAGAAGCTTCATTTAAAATTAAATTAAAATGCAGAGCCCCCCGGACTGGTGGCCAGGACCCGGGCAGTGTGAGTGCCACTGAAAAACAGCTCATATGCTGCCTTCGGCACCCGTGCCATAGGTTGCCTACCCCTGATCTAGTGTGTTGCCTATGAAATAGAACATGGCTACCCTCAACCTTGCAGCTGCCTTTGCTGGAGAATCTCCCCAACCCTGTATGTGGAGAAGATGCTAGGTCATAATGTTCCCAACACTGGGACAAGCAGTAGGATGGGTTTGTTCCCACCTTCAAAGGAGGGGAAGATGGGATTAAATAAAGGGAAACGTTGCTTTTTGTGGCTGCTTCTGTTCCATTAGCTTGGGTTGAGGGAACATCTCCTAGTGACTCTTATGATCATTTTAAAGGGGATTTTTTTTAAAAGTGATTTTTGCCTCTGTGCCCACCCACAACCCTGCTGTGATCAGGCTTGTCCATTGGCTGAGAGGAATGTACAGGGAAGAGATGGAGAAGTCCTGTTAGATCATCCATTTGACCACTTGGTCTGTGTAGTGGCGTCAGGGTACATCCTAAAGGGAGGGTAGAGACAGTGCAGTAGAACAGGGGCTTGGGTGGGATGCAGCAGCATAAATTGCATTTCCCCTGGTATAATGCCTTGTTGGTCACCACTTCAGCTATGTACTCTTTCTGTGAACCCTGTGGCCCTATCCAGGGAGAGGAATGAACTGTCACTCTTACCTGGATGAACTAACTTGAACCCTGATAGCAGGAATTTCCCTTTTGGGAGCACCCAATTCATGATGCCAGGGCTGGCTCTTCTGGTTGTGTTTACTTAATGGCCATGGAGTACCCTGCTACTGGTTGTTAAGATAGATACATTTGGTATGTGGTCAGCATTGTCCCTTCCTCTCCATGTGAGTTGACCTGCAGGGAGAAGCTGGGATGTTTTGTTCTTTGTTTCTCCTTCCTATTCTGGAGTGTTCCCTTTTTCCTACCTGAAGCCCTCAATGGCCTAGTCTGAGTCCTTTAGAACCCACCCCCAGGGTGAAGCCCTGTCCCATACTATGTATATACCCCCTATTGTGTGGGAATTGCTGATGTTCTGTCAGTGTGTCTGTGTCTGCAGTAGAACAGGTTCCGCTCTCCCCTTCTGACAGGTAGACATACCCTGCCACTGTGTTGTATTGTTCTCTCGAGTCACTGGACTTTCTTTTTTTGGGGGGAAGGGGGTAGGAGGGGGAGAATAAGTAATCGGGAGGGAAAACCTAGTGAAATAAAATAGTTCACTTTCCACTGCCTTCCCTATGAATGTGCATAATAGTGAGTGTGTGTCTCTGGCCCTGCTGTCTCCTAGCTGTTAGCCAAGTAAGTGTGACTATTAATATGAATAGCGACTGTCTGACCACAGCCGTGTATCACACTAAATAAAGTTATTTCACCAACACCTTTTCTATGTTTGTTTTGGGGAGAGGACTGCTGCCGCCACCCTTTACTTTACTCAGAGCCCCTGCCCATCAAAGGCCGACACCAATTTATCTGTGGAAGAAACAGGTAACAGGCTGTCCCATCTAAATGCATTCTTCAGCTATAGATGCTCTGTGAAGCTTAAGGGTTGTCTGGGAAATGTCTTCTGGATTCTTTATGCATCTTAAAAAGAACCTACCACTTTGGCCTTTGGAGTTTTTTAGTCACTGTTTCTTCCTGGAAGTTGTACAGTCAGTAATGTACTTAAGTCCTATAACTCTGCTCATTCTGATGAGACACATGCATGCAAAAAGTAAATGACCCAGTTTCATCCACTTTGATGAGAACTATGAAAGAATGCCTAGAAGTTACAGTTTTAAAGCACTTTACAAACCAATTGTGAACAGAAAGTATTGTGCTTTCCAGATGGGGAAGCCAAGGCTCTGAGAGAAAACTACAGTGCCCTCAGATGATGGTGAGTTGGTTATAGGTTTGGGAGTAGGATCCTGGAGTCCTGACCCCTAGCCCCAATACCCATTGTCTCCTGCTGTAACCAGTATGTACCACTTTTTTGGGGAGATAATTTGTATGTGCCAGTTGCTAAAGGACGAAGGAAGGAGGGGCAGAAATGTTTGCTCATTTCCAAGTGACCCCTGATAATCAGAGTAGGGGGTGCTGCCAACAAGCAATAAGTAACAGGTTCTGCTGCTGGCACTAAGAAGCCTGCTCATCTAGTCTAGCTAAGGCCTATCACCTGTCTTCCATCATGCTGTGAAGTCAGATAAGTCAATGAAGAGTGAAAACACAAACAAGAGGAACTTTTAAAAGTTCTTATGAGGGCCCATGTAAACCGCTAGCTCCCTATGGGGTCTATTGTGTACTTGCAATGAGTGAAACTCACATAAAGAAGGGATTTGTGCAGTAGGAAGTTGGGATTGCTGCAAGGCTGTATACTGTTTAATACAGGATACTTTCACTGATATTACCACTCCTGGCTGAGGGATGTTGCTCCCCTTGGGAAGTTACAGTTGAACAAATTTAACATATTCGGAGATGCTTCTTTACTCTGTTTTTCCAAGATTTGAAGCTGAGTGAGTGATGGGGAGCACTGGAGAATGAATTTCAGTATTACCCCACCAGTGAGGAAAGCATCCCTCTGAACAGCAAAAACCAGACTTTGCATGGCAGACATCCTTTTCAGCCATAGGTCGGGTCCTACCAGTGAATTGCCAGCTCTAGAGTTGCCTGTCATTACATTCTAGTCATGAACATGAGAAACTGGGCTTTTCTGTTGGGCATGGAATAGTCTGCATTATGTACAACCAGGATACATCGCTAAGTTTGTAAATCCACTTCCTGGATAAGGATGTTGATAGCACTTCAGGGGCCTGTGTGAGATGAGTACGTGGGCTTAGCATTATAGATAGGGAAGGTAGCACTACCTATTAATAAGGTTGCCTGACACTTCCCATTGTAAGACCCTGTTTTCAGTTGCTTATAACTTTGCCAAACTATAACCATTGGGGCTGAAATTTTCTACATTGAGTGTCTGTCAGGTAGAATTATTTTTCAATTATTTTGGAAATTTCAGCCAAAATAGTTCAGCTGTTTCCAAGGATTAGGGTAAGGAAAAATGTTTTGCCCAGTTAAAAACATTTTGGTGATTCCTGCTTTACAAAGCTCTAGTGCTCCTATGCTGTGTAGTAGGGACTGAAAATTTGTCAAAGGCCTGTGTGTCACTAATGTGCTTTTTGCTGTCACCATGAAAATCCACCCAAATTATAAGCCTTTGAAAAATTGCAGTTTGCACATGCTTGGTACAGACTTAGATTTTTAGCAGGTAAGACTCCAACTGCAATAGGCATGCTCCAACCTGAGGTTCAGTGAGATTTTCCCTATAATTGCCGTTCTCGATTGATGCAGACCTGGCTGGGTCCAGGCACACCTACTGAGAGCAGGGAGCCTCTCTCTCTCTCTCTCGTTGACCCTCTGCTGGGCTCAGGTGGCAGAGAAGAGGAAATTAACTGATTCAAATATAGAGGGGACAAGAGCCAGAGCTGGGGGTGACTAGGACTAGCTGAGCAAGGAGAGTGGGATGAGGAGTTTGGAGCACTTGCTGGGCAAGAACACTGGGACTGGAATGAGACAGAGATGGGCCAGGGATGGAAACGAGACAGGACTGGGCAGAAGAGTCTGTGCCCATTTGAAGAACACTCCCTTCCAAAGCCTGAAATAGAACCCAACATTCCCAGGTCAACCATCCCTCTGTTATCAGCAAATATCTGTGAAACCCACTGCCAGTGTCCCATTCCCTTCTAGCGCTAGTCAACATAGAGGATGACAGCCTATTACTGCTATCAGTTCTTTGGTCAGCTCAAATGTCACACGTCTGTGTGGTGGACCTAAAGATTCCAAATCTGCTGATGACCCACGTGGGTGTTAATATGATGCCGCATGATAATTTTTTTTCTTTTTCAGTTTGCTTTTTTAAGTCTAAGAAGTTACCCACAAAAGTATTAAAAGAACATTAGTAAGCTTGCAAAGTCCAGCACTCAAAAGTTAGGAAATGCTTGTGTAACCTTAATTCAGCCCCCTTCTATCTGTGTATCATGATACAATCTAATTACATGATCACATATTATGCTTTCCACAGGAGCCCTGCCTTATTCAGTGCACAGGCTGTTCCTGCTGTGGGGTAAATTAGGAGTGTGTAATGAAAGAGACTTGTCTGTAGGACTCATTTATTTGTTGCAGAAGTTGGAAAGTATGTACTTACTGTGGTTGGAGAGAGACAGCAGGCTTAACCCAGCCGTCAGCTGAGTGAGAGTGGCCATGGAACCCAGGCCACAATTAAATACTGGGCACAACAACTGAAAAAACAGGGATGGAAGTGAAGTTCAAAGGGCAAAAGTCAGAACCGCAAGGGGACACCAAGCAGAGAACCTCTGACAGCGTCCACTGCTCCTCAAAGGTGCCTAAAAAGTCAGTGGAACTCTGCTTGGAGATATGACGTAACAAGGGCTTGAAAACAGGCCTCACAGAGCACCCTGCTCCATCCAGCTTCCTTCTTCTGGAGTGATGGATGGCCATCTCGGCCAGCACCAGGAGGAAATTGAGGAGGACATCACGCAGCTTTGTTGCCATGGATGAGGCGTGCAGCGTTGAGGAGGCACATGGAGAAGTGCAACCCAAACCTCTTACATAGGTTCTGGAGGAGCTGGAAGAGGGGTTGCAATCTGACACACACTAGGTAGATGTGTGTCCAGGGTGTCCTCACTACAGAAAGGACAGGTGTCATGAGATTGTGAGCTCTGTCAGGCAAATACCCATGCTGATGGATCCTTGGAGGAGCTGTCAACTGCTATCCCTGGCAGTCCATGAACACAGAGTGAGGTACAGGCTGGCCAACCAGGGTTCCTCGCCCTCCTC